ATAATAATAATAATAATAATAATAATAATAATAATAATAATACGCCCCACCGAATTAGAAAGTACCGTGGGATGCCGAGCTCAGGCAAGCGGACGGGTCCATAGGTTGCGTATAATGGAATGGCCATCAGATATGATGGTTAGCTGTGAATAAGATGAAAATTAAATAAGCAGTCCCGGACAATGAGCGGAGGCTGTCTATGGATGTGATTGAGGTAAATGAAGGGGCTCTTTTATCTCCAAGAAAAGATCACAAGATTTGAATCCGACCTCGACAAGGCGAGCCAGCACCGCCTTTGAATAAGTGTCTCCCCAAAATCTCTAAAACCCTTCTATCTCAACGTCTGTTTTTGCTATTTAGTGCGGCTGGGATTTAAATAAAAAAACCTAAAGCGACTGACTCAGAATGAGCGGCTTTTAGGTTAGTGTCTGACTCCATGTTAGGAGCGGCTGGACGATATACCTGGTAGTAGATATAAAATGCTACCTCGTGTACTACGAGGTGTGAACAAATAGTACATAATGCAGCCACAAAATAATGTAAATCTGGGGAGATCGGATAACCCCACCGCGTCGGGATCGCATAACTCTCGCGTGCAGGATTTGGTACCTGGGTCCTGTTCGACAAGTATGCCACAGAACAACAGAAATAGAACACCTTTGCAGTCCGGTGAACAGCATATACATTCTGATATAGCTCTCATCGTGGCTGGCAGACCACGACAGCGCAGAAAATGGACTAATACTATAAATGAAGATTTATTACGCGCCTACTATATAGCTACAAACAATGAAAGAGATATGACAGCATATCGAACTACACTACATACAATATTCGTTGGGCACCATCCGGACTATAATGTATCGGAATAGCGACTAGCGGATCAAGTACGGGTTATTCATAGAAACAATCTTATACCAGAATCAAGACGAAACGCTATCAAAGAATCGGTTGCAGAAGTAAGTAATGATCAATCGACAGAAATTGAAGAAAATGAGCAAGTGCAATCTGAATCAACTAACACTTCTACAAACATACATGTACCTGGAACACGTAATAATGTAAATACGATAGAAGTGGAAAATGAACAACCACCTCCTGCTTTAAATGTAAATTTAATTGATGTCGATGAAACCACGGATCAGCAGGAAGATGTAAGTAATGAACAAATTAGAATTAGAATTAATCAGCATAGCTTAAATGAGATTTTTGAACAACAATTTGACATTTACAGCAACCTTAACCCTCTTTTAAGGCCACGTATTCCGAAGATTAATACTAGTAAGAAGCTAAGTTTTCTTATTGAAACACTTAACAATGATGCGATCCTGATAAAATTGAACAATGTGAGCAATTTGCAAGAATTACATACTATTGTATATGTATCAGCTATAACAATTGCTACTACAATGGGATGCAAGATAGAACAACTCAGAGATGGACCACGAAGAGCTGCAATTTATGGAAATAAGAGTAATACGCTACGAAGAATACAAATTAAAATTGATCATTTAAGAGGAGACTTAGAAAGAATAAATAAGTACATTGAAGGTAATCCTACAAGAAGACTTAAAAACAGGATCAATAAGATATTAAAAACATACAATCTTTACTCACGCTACGAAACAAATCACACTAATATTATTAACACAAGAGACACTATAAAACAGAAACTATGTGTACAAGTAGCGAGACAGCGTAAATACAAGTTATCGAATCAAAGACGAGAAAACAATAGACTCTTTAACAGCAACGAAAAGCAATTCTATAGAAAAATACGATCCAATGCCAATACGTCAGACGACGTATATCCAAGTAAGAATAGTGCAGAAAATTACTGGAGTTCACTGTGGTCCAATACACAAAAACATAATGTATCCGCTCATTGGATTGAAAAAGAGAAAGAGAAATATCAAGAAAAAAAAATGTCAACTTGTCTAATTACACGTGATCAGGTCAAACGAATTATAGCAAAAACACACAACTGGAAATCTCCTGGACCAGATCACATACAAAACTTTTGGTTTAAAAGATTTACTGCAGTCCAGCAAAAATTAACTGAACTTTTAAATGAATGTCTACAAAACCCCGCAACATTTCCAATCATTTTTACGAAAGGAAAAACATATCTAATGGCGAAGAATAATGGATTTAAAGGAAACCCAGCAAATGGCCGTCCAATTACTTGTCTCCCAACAATATATAAGATACTGACTGCTTGTATTAGCAATCTTATAAATACATACCTTACACAAAACGATATAATGTGCGTAGAACAGAAGGGATGCAAAAAACACGCAAAAGGATGTAAAGAACAACTAATAATTGACCAAATAATATTGGAACAAGCAGCTAAGAAAAATAAAAACCTACACATGTGTTTTATTGATTACATGAAGGCTTTCAATGGTGTCCCGCACAGTTGGCTGATAGAAGTCCTGAATATATGTATACCAGGGTTCAGAAAACCACTGTGCTGTGCACAAAAATGCAGAACACCACGCACAAATGTTGTGCGATTCTAAATAAAATTTCACACCACAAATGTGGTGTGCGAAAATTTTTGTGCACATCTTAAGTGCCACATCTTGTGTGCACAAACAAAACGCACATTTCACACGAATGTGGTGGAGTGAAATAAAACTCGCACACACATTTGGTGTTTGTGCCGAAGTTATTTCGCACAGCACATTGTGTGTGCGGCAGCCAGCTTATCTCGCACACAACGTGTGCAGAAAAGAATACGAGGAGCACATTTTGTGTGCAGACTCGAAAATAAATATGCACCCAATTGTGCGGAGACGAAATGTCTACTGCACATTTGTGTGAAATGATGATTTAAAAGCGCACAATCCCAGCGGGACTTTCAGCGCTGAGGGAATCGATTGGTAATCGATTGAATGGTAATGCCTAGCGCTGATTATTCAAAGGAAACTCCTAATTACTTTAACACGTGCATGTCATTGCGGGCAAGCGCTGAATCGTTCGATTACCTTTT